GTCATCACATAGTCGGTGGAGATGCCATCGAACCACAGTGTCCGCGAGAACCACTTTGCGATCTTGATTGGAGGTCCCTCGAATTGTTGCGTCTGCACGTCCCATGTTCGCAACTCGTGGCCGTCCGACAAGAGAATCCTGTGTGAGTCCGGGTAAAAAAGTACCAAGTAAAAAAAAGGCGAAAAGTAATGCGGATTTGAGTCCGTTATGGTCTTTTCTCTCCACGTCGAGGAGCCCGACTCGCGCTCCCAGACCTGCACCGTGACTCCGCCGGAGGCAAGGTACTGTCCATCGGGGGAGAAAGCGACGGCCGAGGCGTAGCCTTTGGGCTGTCGCAGGATCTGCGGGGGATCACCATTTCTGCTTTCCAAGTCCCAGACGCGTACGGTGGAGTCATTTGACGCCGATGCTATGAATTGCCCGTCTGGCCCAAACACTGCACGCCGAACCGGGGCCTCGTGGCCGGAAAACGAGCGCCGTAACTTTCCACTGGGTACGTGATAGACCCGGACGGTTCGATCGTTGGAAGCAGACGCTAAACTCTGTCCATCGTGTGAGAAGGCGATCGAGTTCACCTGGTCGTCGTGTCCCATACGCTCGGCGTTGCGCAGTCGCTTGCCTGTCTCGCCGTCCCATAGGTGGATAGTGTCGTCCGTCATGGCAGACGCCACGCAGCGGCCGTCGAGGGAGACAGTTAGCGCACAGATGCGATGGGCATAAGACAGGAAACTGTCTGCTTCTTTCTCTACTTCATGGACGTTTGCCTGTTCCTTGGGCTCGTCGTACCAAAGCCGTGTCGTGAAATCCTGAGAGCACGAAGCCAGATACGGACCCTGTGGCGAGAATGCGACCGAAGTTACGAAATCCGTGTGTCCACGAAGCACCTGAGTGAGCTGCTCCATCTTGTAATTCCATACGTCAATGACGCAATTTCTACTGGCTACTGCCAGTTGAGAACCGTCGCGCGAGAATGCAAGAGATAGAACTTGGTCGCTCGAGAATGCAAGAGATAAAACATGGTCGCTCGACCGTGACAGCTTTTGTATCTCGTTGCCCGTCAAGGCATCCCAAACTCGGATAGTTGCGTCGTCTGAGCCAGAGGCGATGTGATGGCCGATGGGGGAGAAGGCAACGCAATTGATGGCTTCCTCGTGGCCGTTGAGGGTTCGGAGGAGCGCGTAAGTTTGCCCGTCCCAAATGTTAACTTTTTTATCTTCCCCGCCCGACACCAAGAATCTCCCGTCGGGCGAGAGCACGACGCTGCTGATAGAGCCCCCGTGTGCTTCGAACCTCTTCCAAAGCTCAGGCTTATTATCCACACTAAGATCCCAGACATACAAGCTTTGACCAGAGGCCGCCACGAGCTTTTTGCCATTCGGCGCGAAGCTAACGGCATCCACCCACCCCCAATGGCCTGAGAGGGTTCCGACGGGACGTCCAGTTGCGGCATTCCAGAGCCTCACGGTTGAGTCGGCCGCTCCCGATGCCACGAGACCAGTGCGAGAGAAGTCCAAGCAGAATATCCCGTGGGTGTGGCCGCGGAGAGTATGCTGCGCCGTCCCTGCCTGGACGTCCCAGATGCGCACAGTCCTGTCATCCGAGCCGGAGGCCAATTGGGTCCCATCAGCGGAGAAAGCGATACATTGAACACAGTCGCCATGGCCACGGAGAGATTGAAACTCGTGGCTTGGATGATTTTCCATCAATGGCCGGGTGACTACCCACTGGGGCATTGATCTTTGCTTCACGACGCTTGAGCTGGGCCAGAACAGAAGGGTATCCTGGACCAGGGATGCATCCGGTCTGTTGACTGATCTGTGAAAACGGAGGAGTCGATGCGCGTCACGAACGACCGCGAGCAGCTTGTTTGTGCTACTCAGCTTAGCCTGTTTGTTCAATCAGTCGTTATGACTCCATAAAGGAAACGAAATGTCCTGACCGAACAAGTATGCAAAGATGGACGTAAACTTACTACCAAGAACGCCTCCAGACGTAACAGCATAGTCGCAGACGTCGAAAGTCGCCCCATCGAGCCCAGGATCTTGAGCCAGTGAACGAAGTAGTTTTCCAGAAACAAAGTCACCGCCTCTGTCACTTCCGGATGCTTATCAATATTCGTTATCTCACATATATGTCTCATCCAGTAAATTGACGTATACCTAACCGGAGTCAGGTGAGCCTCTAGGTCAACCTGCTTGGTAGCGACAGCCGACCCGGTAAGTATTTCCTCGTCTAGAAAGGTGGATAAGGAGTTGATGGCCCGTTCCGATATATGCAAGTGGGCTTGCGAGGTGGCCGACGGCAGGAGAATATGCTGTCGCGCGTAGTCCTTGGTGGACAGGTGCTGAAAGCACACAAAGTTATCGCGAACTTCCAAGAACGGAGAGCACTTCTTCACTATGGCCAACACGTCCACACCCTCCCGTAGTTCCGCCAGGGCTGATAGTTCGGATATATGCAGCGGCTGATAGGCGGCAGCCATTGTCGAAAGAACCTCTCTGCAGAAGCTAGGCTCCTCGCGAGGAAGTTGCTGAATCCTAGATCCTATTTTGTCGTACAATTTTTGTAGGTCGTCGGGCATCTCCTGCAAGACTTCGACGGCATACCACTTCTCTTCTTCCCGCAGAGCTGTGCAAACAATGTTTACCCACAAGAAATTACGCTGAGGCCGTTGTCGGATTTTCCGCACTATCTCGTTTTCAAGAGCCTCCCCGTAGCTCTTTTCTTGGGCCAATTCAGAGACCTTGTGAGTTATGTGTCTGTCCACAGCTTCAATAAGAGCTCGAGGGCTCGGACTCGCATCGAGGCTCAAATGGCAACAGCCTCCTCCTTCTTCTAATGCCATTTCAGTCGTATCTGTGTAGCTGCTAGACACTAGCCATCGAACCTTGGACGACAAGGACCTTGATACAGATATCAAGTGCAAGAAGTCATCCAGGCCAGGTCCATCATCGGCGGAGCACTGGTCGATAGCGTCGACCAAGAAGTATGTTTTTTCAAAGTCGGGATCTTGTATCATGCTGTAAAATGCCCCCGATAAGGCGAGAAAGTCACTTTGGTCGTCAAGGTATTTTCCTCGAGTTGAAGTGCGCGGTTCGTCCCAGTGCCTGTCAAGTAACGGTTGCTGCTCAAGCAAGCACCAGATCAGACCCTTCAGCACAGCTGCTACATTGTCTGATCCAAATGTGCTGCTGCCGCAGAAGAAGAAGGCCAACTTGGCCGTAACCGGCTCCTCTTTCCCCCTTGCTGAAAGCTGACTTGCGATCGCGGCGAAGAGCAGCGTCTTGCCTCGACCAGGGCCTCCGCTCACCCACAGCAATTTCGGATCAGCCTTGTCCCAATCAAGGAATTCCTTGTACTCCTGCGTCGATAGAATCCACTGGTAAAGGTCGGGCAGAGAATAGCTTCCTTCGGGCTCGAGACGCCGTGTCCACTTCCTCAAGGCTATGTGCAAGTCCCGCATTAACTGGCTCTCCTTGTCCGGTTGCGACTGCTCCTTATCGTGGACAGATGTCTCTTCAAGAAGCTTCTCAAGTTGCACCTTGACTTGAGAACAATTTAAGAGCGAAAAGGCCTTCTCTGCCTCATCTACTTGGCGTTTTGCCTCGCTTCTGTCGAGTGGGACTTGTTCGATCTCGTGGGTGACGCCGACGAAATCAAAATAAAGATGGCCAAAATGAAAACACACAATTCTTATTTCGTACAATAGAATGGCCCTGTATAGGTCGACGAGTTTTTTACTGGGCTCATCGTGGATCTCGTCGATGTTTTCTTCATTGTCACTGGCGGGTGGTGCCAGAACTCTGTGCAAGTTGCAAAACCACTCTAGCTTGGATATGAGATTGATAAAATCCAAGTAATCACTCTTGGCCTCCGTCACCAGACGTTGAGTGATGAGCAGAACCTGTATATGGGATCGGTTGTCAGATCTATGCGTGCTCAGTCTGGAAGACATTATTCCGTACCATTAAAGAGTAACAAGCACCAGCCCAGGCGAGAGCGGCATGTGGCATACTTTGCGCGATCTTCTGAAAGCCAGTTTCTAGTGAAGGGGTCTTCTGAAGGCCAGTTTTTAGTGAAGGGGTGGGATGATCAAATTCACTAGAATCGACCTCGTCGCTCGACTCTTCATCGATTTTGTTGAACCAGGTGTCTATTAGTTGCTGCATCTGCAAGCGTCTGGCCAGTGTATCCGCCTGGTTGATCATGTTTTCGGCGGGCATCGGAAATATTGGACTAAGCAGGGTCGAATGAAAGTCTCGTCCCCGAATGCCGGTAGACAGAATTTCCAAAATTACCTCGTACCACCTCATCATCTTCGGATGCTCTTCTTTGAGCTGCTTGTACGCCGCATCCCATAGCCGCGCAGCCTCCATCGACGAAGTAGAGGCCGGAGATTGCGGCCGAATGGGGTTTTTACCTTTTGGAGCCTGGGGGTAGTGAACCAAGTCGCTCTCGGGTGAAGGCGGGAGCTTGATCTTGCCTTTGGGCATTTTGCCGTTCAATGTCGAGGATTAGATTATTGACCAGAAATCCTATTGCGCGAATACTTGAAGGATGGATGTTAGAGACGGATGCTGTATCCGGTGGGAGATGGAGACGACCCCAGAAAGCTATTGGAAAGCAAAAACACCAAACACGGGCTTGATAAATAGTTGGTAGCGAGGCCAAGCGGTGGCCCAAGGCTGCCCTGCCCGATGGGCAGACGATGGGTGTGCTCGCCAGCTTCCATGTCCGCTCGCACATGCATACAGCCAGCAAAAACAGAGACTCGTCACAAAAGCATTGATTAGAGGTCCAAGTTCTTCTTTGTGAGGGTGCCACCCCAAAATTAGCTATCACGGCCACAACTGTCCCAATCGAAGAGGAGCGACTCACGGCCCCAACCTGCCAGCGGTACAACCACAGGCGGGTACTGCCGGTCGAGGTACTTGAACAATGGCCATGAAGGGGCTGAGGTCTTTGTTCGTATCAATATTTCTTACAGGATCAATGATAGATCATACATAGGGTGCCGTTCCCGGATCGATCGCCGTCGTGACCGAGCTGCACCGGATGCGGTTCCAGGACTGTAGGAAGGGCACGGGGTCAACGCACACGTTGTCGCCGAGGAAGCTCAAGTCGTAGCCCTCTATCTGGCTCTGGTCGAGTAGGCAGCCGTTACTGTTGCAGGCCAAAACGGAGAGCAGCTCGTTCTGCACATCCCTGCTTGCGCTGCGATCTGTCCTCAGGCCCACGTTGGATGTGCTCGAGATGACTACATGTCGGTGCTTCTGGCGCGCTGGACGGCTCGGGCCATCTTGTGTTGGGCGTCCCTGGACGCCACCAGCCACCTTTGTTCTGGGCATTTCTGGCTCCTCGGAGTAATGATTACGAAACATGACGAGAAACGCGTGTAGGTTCTTGCCAACCACTTCATAAGGGCTGCCATTGGTGTCTCTGCGAGTCAAGCACCCCTTTGAGATGGGAAAGGTAGGAAAGCTTCGTACATGTCTTCGTGATCTAGGATTGTATGGTGTCCCCGGTTGACAGCCCAGCCGCATCTCGTTGTTTTTATTGTTAGATTTAGATTGCCTTGCATCGTGACGTGTTCGCCATCGAGTGTCGGGGGCCTTTGTGAGGCGTCTTAACCCGTTTTGAAGAGCCCCTCGCCCACAATCTCCCGAAGATCCCTCTGAGCCTGTTTGGACTTATCAGACCCTTCTACGGCCTCATAACTCGGACCGCAGTGGATGACAACTGAAAATTCATCTTTGCGTAGCCGCGTTTTACACCGCTCGTCTTCAGGCGTTGATTTAGCTCTTTGAGTTACTCCGTGTCTTTCATGTGCCGTCCTGAAGTACTCTGTCCCCCGAGGCTCCGGGGTTGTCGATTCTCTAGAAAGTCGTCGACCTTGTCCTGGAGATCCTTCGAGAGCCTCCACGCGATGGTTTCGTTGGCCTCGACCATCAATAGTAGGCTCATGGGAAATGCTGCGTCGCTAGATTGGTTGACTATACGCTGCAGGTATAGAGTTTGTCACGGATACCTTCCATCAGTCGAAATACATCTGGCCGTCTTGCTAAAACGGTCGCATGCCGATGCTGGCGGCGGCATCGCGTTTAGGCCGTCCACGATGTGCGCCTCGAGGCTGGCTTCACCCATGGCGTACAGCAGGGCTTGCGCCGCGCCTCCCGGCTATTTGTCCCTGAGGTCGCCCTGTCTACTTTGATCCGTCAAGAGAGCAAGAGACGAGTGGTTTTGAGGGGTGCAGTGCTAATATGTTGAAGAAAATAGAAAAGAAGAACCTGAGAGACCCAGCCGCGAAGGGCTAGTTGACCAAGTTGCTGCATCTGAATCAGGAGGCACTACTAGGCCTTGATCCAAGGGCTCTAGAAACCTGAGTATTGGTTTTTTATTACATTTAATATCAAGCATAATAAATTAATAGCAAAGTTATGCGCAGCTCTCTTCAAAGCTAAAGGTTGGAATTTTTGATCTTCTTCAGCCCCATTCCCTCTGGCCTGTAGCGTGCGCAGCTAATCGCAAAGTGTCACGTGAGCCAAGCTGTAGTGGGTTCTTGAAGCTCAACCTGAAGCCTCGGAATAGCTTCTCCGCGACATCAAGACTTAACATCTGCCTGCGCGCCCGAACTGCCTTCAACATCCGCGTCCGGGCGCCCGAGAGCCACCCTCAATGTGCAAGCCGACAACATAGGTGCATGCGACGTTCGTCGCATCGTCGAACCAATGTTTTCGTCTCTCGCCCAAGGGACGCGTAGTTCGGCGCCAGTGGTCAACCCTTTCGCCCCAACCCCGTCCACGGGCGGGAAAAATCCATTCAGCACCGATGTTGCAGGCGACTCAACGAAAAACGAGCGCAGAGCGAGACCTAATCCGTTTCAAACGACAGACAGCAGCCTGAGTGATGGTGGTGGCAAGCAACAAGCAAGACGCAGTCCATTTGATACCGGCGGGAAAAAGCCCAAGGGCAAAGGCAGATCCCGGCAACATAAAGCAGACAATCAGAATGGATTGCTTCAGCCATCACAACCAGATGGGCAAGACTCGCGAGCCACGTCGCCTTCGAGCGCTTTATCTGACGAAATGAGCGACGAACCTGTCCCTGTAATTCCGTACAACTCGACGGATCCTCTGGCCCGGAAGGTCTATGACCGGCTACGCAAAGATGGCATTGGCCCACCTTCCTGGCCGTCGCAGCCAGGAAACCCGAAAAATAAACAAGCAATGGCGAAATTCCGCGAGCAGTATGAAACGTATCGCAAAAAGGTCAGAGCGTCTCTGACCAAGGCCGGGTTAATCGATGACCCAGAGAAACGCAAAGCCCTGAGCGATGCCATCGAATTCAAGGGAATATGTGAGGATATGTGTCCAGAGTTTGAGAAGATTACGAGGATTACAGAGCTGGACGTGGTCCAAGCCGAGAAGGATCCCCGGACTTCATATGCCAACACGACCAAAATGGTGAAGAAGTTGGCTCGGTCAGCTGCTGGTCAAGAAGCTCCCCTTCCCATGGACGTCCGCTCTGTTCCGGCCCTGCGCCGGACCTTAGATTATCTTCTAGACGAGCTGTTGCGGAATGACGAAAACTTGGCAGCAGTGCACGGCTTTCTCTGGGATCGCACTCGCGCCATTCGCCGGGATTTTTCATTTTTCTCGTCACTTACTCCAGAGGAGATCAAAACTCAAGTATACGTGTTGGAGAATATCGCAAGATTTCATGTTACATCCTTGCATTTACTATCACAGGCAGGCAAGGCACCCGAGGATTTCGTCCAACAACAAGAGCTGGAGCAGCTTGGCAAAGCCCTCTTGTCACTTCGAGACGTTTACGATGACTGCAACGAACAGGGGATCGAATGCGAGAACGAACCAGAATTTCGAGCATATTATCTAGTTTTCCACGCGCGCGACCCGAGCATCCTAGAAACCCTCCAACGACAGTGGAAGTCGGCTCTGTGGCGCGACTCGGACGAGGTCAGAACCGCAGTGTCACTGGTCGAAGCACTTCAAGATACACACGATTTCCATGGACCGCTAAAGAATGGACCTTCACTGGCCGCCTCGGCAGCCTCACTGGCATATTTTCGGATTGTTCGAGACCCAAAGGTCTCGTATACCATGGCATGCTTTGCGGAATGCCACTTTCCTCAGCTCCGAAGATCAATATTGCAAACCATCAAGCGCGCACTTGCGAGACCAAAGGACCCAGCCAGGGATGTAACGGCGGCAGCACTTAACAAGTTTCTGCAATTCGACACTGTGGAGCAGGCCATCGACTTTGCCGAACTCCATAACTTGGAATTCGTTCAAGATCCCGACAGCCCGTTCGACACTGAACGAAAGATTTTAATTCTCGATGGCAAGCAGCCGCTTCCTCACCGCCGATTGCAGCATCAGTTCTCGCAGGGATTGGTGGAACGAAAACGAGGGCCAATACCACTTCCTGAAGTGATACATCGCACCGTTTTCGAAGATCCCAATGCCACGGTCAAAGTCAATGGCTTGGAGACTGAAGGTAGTCTTTTTGTACAGGACAACGAACCTCAGTCAGAAGCGAAACCAAATATCGGCGGGTTCGGGCTCACAACGGGTGCTGCACCTGCAACTACATCCACAGCCTCGCCATTTGGAACAACCGGCTTGTCTGGGACGGGAGCGACTCCCAATGCTCAACAAGGTCTGATTATTCATTCACCACGGAGGAGATGCACGCCTACAAGAACATTGCTAACAGAAACTTCTCAGCCTCGACCCCGTTTGGCACTTTTAATAATTCGCAGTCTGATACTACCAAAAACCCCTTTGCTCCGGTGTCGACGCCTCAAGCCGGTACCCAACCCAACCCCTTTGCATCCAGCGGGCCAACGCCTGCACTGTTTGCATCAAAGACCAATGGCGATGAGAATAAAGCCCAACCTGTGTTTGGAAATGCTCCTACTACGAACCCATTCGCACCAGCGTCACCGGCCATTGATCAGCCTGCAATGGTAGGAAGCAAACCAAGTTTCCCATCCACGACACCCAACTCGCTTTTGTCAAACAGTAGTCCAGGCACTCAGGGTGTCAATCCTTTCTCTTCTGGGCTACTGGGTGTGCCGAAACCAACACAGGATGCTATCAAGCCGACACCAGCGTTCTCTATGCCGCCTCCCCCGCTCCCACAGCCCAAAGCATTGCCTAATGCGTCAGACGTCGCCAAACAAAATTCCGATTCTTCAGCTTCACTACCAGCAAAGCCAGCCACTTTTGGGGTTGGGGGCTTCCAATCTGGTCCGTCTTTTGAGAATCAGGATTTCGGCAAGTCCGTTACCAAGGCTTCAGATGGTACTCCAGATGCCGCGAAACAACCCAACATTTTGGGATCGCAAACATCCTCAGCTATTGGCCTTGGCGGGGTTTCGTCGCCGGCAATTTCGACTCTCACAGCTGACAAACCTCCTTTTCCTGCCGTGCAATCATCATCAAGCGTGTCCGGCCCAGCCATACCCAGTAGTGTGCTTCAAGAACCGTCCACGTCTGGACAGCCTGGCGAGAAACCTGCACTTTTCCCGAGCAGTGCAGAGTCGAGAGCTCCAGCTGTGGCGGCACTACCCAGACCTTCTGAGAAACCCCGAGACCTGCTGGGCGACTTTACGAGGTGGTTTGTGATGGGCGACAATGGCTTGCTTGATCAATTTCAAGTGTACATGATTGATGAACTTGCTAGAGAGACATTTGATAAATTCCAACAGGAAGTGGAAGAAAACCGGAGAAGGGAAGAGGAGGAAGCCATAAACAAAAAGGTTAAGCAATTCCGGACATATAATCTCTCTCTCAAATACTTTTACCGATGGAGGCATAATGCGAGAGAGAAGCGTCTAAGTTCTCTGAGGCGAAGTGGTCGAGACCAACTTCGAGCGTTCTACGCGTCGCAACATGCTGCTGAAAGATGGGCTCGGCAAGAGGCGTCTAAGAGAGCTGCCAAGCAACGAACAAAACTCGCCAAGGTCAATCATGCCGAAGAATTCATGGACATGTTGAAGCAAAAGGACGTGAGCAGACGGAAAGCCCGCGAGGCGCTTCTCTCCAGCGGGGTATTATCCGGCATGGACAATGAGCATGATGCCGTCGACTCGATTGTGAGGCAAGAGTTCAGGTCTAGGACGAACTCTATGTCCACAAGTTGCCAATCGCGAGAATCATCGCCCAACTCGAGCAGGAAGCTAGGCGGAAAGACCAAGGCGCTGCGCGACCTTTACCTAGCCAAACCCGGCCGGTTCCGCCGCTCCCTGCCCTCCATATCCTCGAGGGAGAGCGAGCCCCCCGATCATTCTAGGTCGACGAGCAATGCGTCGGCTCGGTGGAGGCTCAAAGCCATGGGCATTGTGCAGCTGCCCGATGGCACTGCCGTGCCCGAGTCCATGGCGCGCGACATGATGGAACGGCCTGGCCACTACGCCAGCCCGGCATTCGGATCAACCATCAGAGACGATTCTGTTCGACGGGCGTCTATGAGCGGAGGTGCCGAGAGCCTTGAAATGTCGCGACTTGGTGCAATGGATGACGAGTCAGCCACGAATAAGAGGAAGAGGTCGTCTGAGGAGGATGCGAATGCGGCCGAGAAGGACGTCCCAGAGCGTAGCAAGCATAAGCGAATCATGAGCGAGGCGGAGAAGCTCACCGGCGAACTCAAGGCCATACGGCAAGAGTTGGAACAAGGACGGGAGTGGTTCAGGTCTCAGAACGAGCGTCTACGAAGTGAATCCCGCGCAGAGTCTTGGTTCGACGACAGCATATAATTTGGCGTTGGGGAGGGATCATTGTTTCAAATTATCAATTTCGCGGGAAATGGGAAAAATTCAATATCATATTCTTTTTTTTTTCTTTCATCCAAGGGCATCAACGACACCTGTCTATATTTGTCTCGTTGGCCGTCAAGGTCAGATACCCATAGAGTTGGATGGCTTTGTTACCCGCACGATCAGGGGGTGTGTCAACCTATGCATGTCATTTGATTTGGGCCTTGGTTCCATTTACTTGTTATTTGTTTTTGTTTTTTCTCTTGTATAAGCGGGCATGAATGTAGTACTAGTTCCATGGTCAGGGGGGCAGGGGCAGAACCACGACAATGATGAAGATTTGTTTACGTCACAGCGTGGCGGCCTCATATTTGCATTCAATGTTTTATATTCGTGACTGATGTGATTTAGGAACAAGGCGACAGCCCGTGCCGCCTGGGTATTTATCGTCCAATTACTCCGTACCGTGCCTGAAATTACACAAGGTCCTTTTACTAAAATACCAAAAAAAAAAAGTCAACGCCTTGAAGCCCTCAACGTCCTACCTCGTCGGCGGCGGGTCAAAGGTGGTCTGGATCCTGGCACCCCGCACAGG